GATGAATAAAGAATACAGAAGAATGTATGAAACGTACAGGAGCCATCTCGCAATCTCATTATTGAAAAAAACTGAAACAAGACCAGAAACAAACGACAGCCAGTCATACACACCTTACTGATGAATATTGAACAAAACCAAAAAAATAGTATAGCTAGTTACAGCCTGTTGACTGGAGAACATTGAACAAAACAACAGCAAAAAAAAAAAAACAGTATAGCCAGTTACAGCCTCTTTACTGGAGACTATTGAACAAGACCAAAAAAAATAAAAAATAAAAATAAAAACAGTATAGTCAGTTACAGCCTCTTTACTGGAGACTATTGAACAAAACCAAAAAAAAACAGTATAGCCAGTTACAGTCCCTTTACTGTTTTTTGGTTTTGTTCAATATTCTCCAGTAAAGTTTTCTTGGTTTTGTTAAATATTCTCCAGTAAAGGGACTGTAACTGGCTATACTGTTTTTTGGTTTTCTTTACTGGAGAATATTGAACAAAATCAAAAAACAGTATAGCCAGTTACAGTCTCTTTACTGGAGAATATTGAACAAAACCCAAAAAAGGGGGGGAGGAGAATAACCAGTCACAGTCCGAAGATTACCGAAGCCTAAAGTAACCATTTCGCGATTTCTTCACAACAGAATATCAAACTAAAAGCAAAAGCCTGGGGTAACCATCTTGTGATCTCCTTATTGAAAATGGACACAAATATAAACAGAAGAACCAAATCGTGATTTACTTAGTGAGTATTGCGAAATAAAAGCCAAAGCCTAAGGTAACAAGCTGGAGATCTTATTACTGAGGACAACAGAAGGTCAGAGTATCTAGATTGTGATCTCCAGTATGTAAAATGGCAAACAAAATCAGAGGTACAGTCTACAATATTTATTATTGGCTGGTAAGAAACCGTTACGTTGTTTTTTGTGTTTTTTTTTCAAGAAACTAACTGTTTTTCGTGAGGGTATTGCAGAAGGTCTCAATACAACGAAAGATTAAGTTTCCTTTAACACAACATAATATTTTTAGACTTTATAAACAGCGTGTCCGAAAAGTCTAAAAAAAACATAGACACTTCAACGAATTTCATAGAATTTTTACCTAAAAAATTAAGAAAAACTGCAAATCACTTAGGGTTTCCGACTTTTCGGACATCCTATATTGAAACTGTTATAACGCTTAGATTGGATTTATCAGTTTATTTCATATACACTTTTGCTAGATACTTGGTGCCAAAAAACTGACATAAGAATTTTGTCTGTATTTTGAGCCATCAATAACAACTTGTTCATGATCGATTTAACACATGACAAGAACAATCAGAATGATTTAGCACATGAGAACAATGAGAATGATTTAACACATGAGAACAATGAGAATGATTTAGCACATGAGAACAATGAGAATGATTTAGCACATGAGAACAACAATGAGAATGATTTAGCACACGAGAACAACAATGAGAATGATTTAGCACACGAGAACAACAATGAGAATGATTTAGCACACGAGAACAACAATCAGAATGATTTAGCACACGGAGAACAACAATCAGAATGATTTAGCACATGAGAACAACAATCAGAATGATTTAGCACATGAGAACAA